GTTCTATAACTCATGATGTAGACCAGGCTGGCCTTGAACTCACAGAGATCTGCTTGCCTCTGCCTCCTGAGTGCTGGGACTACAGGCGTGCACCACCACGCCTGGCCCCAACGTTTATTCTTTTATAAACAAATTTGCTTTTGGAATCTGGGCACTGCATCCTCAGTGTTAGCTGACTTCTCTCATGTTGGTGTTTGGTTGTTTTCAGATTAGACAGACACACCCAGGCTACCACTCTGGTCTGCCAGATATTTGGAGGATACCTAAGATCTCGAGGTAAACTTTTGTTTGAAAGCTTATCATAGTGTCCATGCTTATGGCTTTTAAGATGCTAACAGGAGGGTGGGGGTAAAGAAGAGCAGATCCCAGGGCATCTCAGATACCACCTGTTCCCAAAGGCAACCCTGTACCTGCTGCAATGTGTCCTTTGGTGCTTTCTTAGGGAAGCAACCTGCAAGCATGCAATGCAAGGCATATTTTCATATTCTTCTTAATTGTAGAAATCTTATATTTGAACATATATGGATCTAAAGTCTATTTTACTTCCTGTCGATGGGATGTTTATGTTTTGTTTTATCAGTGCTTTGTACTAATGTGCACATGCCTTCATGTATGTCAAAAGTGATGTGTAGGGGTTTCTGTATCAAAAGTTGCATCTTAAATGTTGGTATTGACCTGTTGTCATTTCAAGAGGTTACATCAATTTGTACTCCAGCTTGTAGTGCATAGACTATGGCCAGGTTCATGGCATTTTCACCGAGGATTTACTTAACAGGGTTAACAGGGGTTTTGCCCATTGTAATAGAAAAAAACTGTACAAGGGTTTTTTTGTTGTTGGTTTTTTTTTTTTCATTTTTAAATGTATTTGTTGTCTGTCGTTTCAGTGGCTGGTAGAGCCACAGTTGCACTTTGCTTATTGTTTGCATTTCCTTCTGTTTCAGTCAAATGTTTAAATTGCAAGGGTGTTTCAGATACTTTTGATCCATATCTCGACATAACATTGGAAATTAAGGTAGGTTTGGTAATTTTGGTGGTTGAGTTTCCCCAGTGCTTGTAACAGCCAAACTTAGGTGGTGGTGATTCTTTTAGAAGCTTTTGCATTTTTTCATTGCATTTTCTAAACTGCTATTTTTTTTGTGTTCTTGAGCTTTCCTTTTCTGATTATAGTTTAATACTGTGCTTATGGTGAAAAGGAGAAATACTACAGATAAATGCAAAACCTGTCCCTTAGAATTAATTCTTCAGAGGTATGGCACATACTTCAGAACAGATGGCTTCCTTTTTCTGAAGATGGAATTATGATTATGCCCTAGTCTGTCTGTTCTCTGTTTGCATTTGAACTTACTTGGAAGCCTTGTTCTCTGGGCAGTGTGGTGGGTCCACTAAGTGGATAAACCACAGTTTGCATGCTTGGTTCTTTGCCAGTTTCACTTTTACGCTAGCGTAAGTAAAACTTAAGTGACCTCTTTACACACTTTTGTTCAATTTAATCTGCTTGTTTTTTGAATGAGGGGAGCATAATTTGGTGTGTAGATGTATAAAAGTCGACATCATCCTGAAGAAGACAATTTACATACAAATCTTCTTTTGCTTTTCTACCCAAGTCTTGTGTGTGTGCTCTGCCCACCCATCTCAACCCAGGCAGTGCACAAAGTGATGTATTTATGCCTTTTTCTCCCAGGCTGCTCAGAGCGTAACCAAGGCTTTGGAGCAGTTTGTGAAGCCGGAACAACTGGATGGAGAAAACTCGTATAAGTGCAACAAGTACGATGGGGGATGCACTTCTTTGCTTTATGTTTGGAGCGTGCCCAGAAACAGGCTTGCTTCTTAGGACTTTCAGTGGATTTTTTTTTTTCTTCTGTACCAGGGGTTAAGTCCAGAGTTTTGACATACTAAGCAAATGTCCACCACTGAGCTATTTATCCTATTTAATGTTATTGGTAACCTCATGTTTTGAATTGTCCTATTTATTTTTAGGCAGGCTCTGCCTATGTAGCCCAGCCTTGCCTTGCAGTCAGTGATCCTCCAGCATACCCAGTTTACCTTTTTTCATGCTATTAGACAATTCCCCTGGTCATTATTGCTATTATTACTTTGTATATGTGTGGGGGAGGGGAGGGGAGGGGTACTGGGAATTGAACCCAGGGCCTTGTGCATGCTAGGTGAGTGCTCTTACCACTGACCCATACCCCTCTACTCCCAGTCCTACTGGATTTTTGACTGTTGGTTTCCTATCTAGTTTCCTTGTTTTAGAATCTTATTTTAGTATGTTTTAGAAAAATAACAAAGGAGAGACCAAACTGCTTTAAAGCTTACACATTAATCTTAATCCTTTCTTCCTGTATGTTTCAAGGTGCAAAAAAATGGTTCCAGCTTCAAAGAGATTCACCATCCATAGATCCTCTAATGTTCTTACCATTTCACTGAAGCGTTTTGCCAATTTTACTGGTGGAAAAATTGCTAAGGTATACCTGTTTCCTGACCTTTCTCACTGTACATTGAATTTTTCCATTTTCTTCTCACTGAAGGTTGAAAGTGGCCAAAATACAATAGCCTACAAGAGAAGTAATAGATGCACGGGTCACTAAAAATAAAAGGAAGGGATGGACATCCAGAATTGCCACTCCATTACCTTCTGTTGAAGAATTCACTCAATGTGGATCCTTCCTGGTTTAAGGGAAATAAAAACAATGTGGTTGCCATAAACACCCTTGAATGCCATTGTCCTCTGAAAGGTGGTTAAGGCATTGGATTTCTGCTGGAACATGACATGGTCGACAAGGGTTATAGGGTTCTATAGGGCCCTTCCTTACAACACCCTATCCTCAGGTACATCATAAGTAGCTGAATGTGGAGACTATATGTCTTTAGAAATGATGGTCCTTTTTCCTTTGCATTTCTTTTTAGGATGTGAAATATCCTGAGTACCTTGATATACGACCCTACATGTCTCAGCCCAATGGGGAACCGATTATTTATGTTCTGTATGCTGTGCTGGTACATACTGGTTTTAATTGTCATGCTGGCCACTACTTTTGCTACATTAAGGTAAGCTGTGCCTGTGGCTCTAGACCACTGACTGTCAATCTGCATTGGTGGGGTGGAGTGTGCAGGCCTATTTTTCTCAGGTATCTTGATTGTGGTCTTTGTCACAGAACTGAATCGACTGTGGGTTTTGTCATGGGACTGAATCAGCCTCTCTTCCTCGTCTCTTACAGGCTAGCAATGGCCTCTGGTATCAGATGAATGACTCCATTGTCTCCACCAGTGATATTAGATCGGTACTTAACCAGCAAGCCTACGTACTCTTTTATATCAGGTATTGTCTTGAAAACAGTCAGATTTTCTCTTATGTCATTTCTTTTTCCTTCATCAACGTTTAAATTCAATTTTGAGCTACTTTTTAAAAACAGTATGGTAATCTGCCTCCTTAGCACAGTGGGCAGTGTGTCAGTCTCATAAAAACAAGTAGGTTAAAGATGATTGCCACACCTGAGAATAAGGTGTTTTTTTTCTGAGTACAGGGATGAGTTTACTCCTCCTGCTCACTGAAAGGTGTAGAAGGAGGGAACGGAGACTCTGAGGAGGTAAACTGGGTGGCCTGGGAGTTACAGAGGCCAGAGGAAAGGGGCTCTGCGCACTCTACATGGTCACAGCTGACACTTCCCCAGGTTGAGCACAGGCAGCCAATCAGACATTACCAGCACCAGTGCTCACACTATCCTTCTATGGCTATAAGCTCTTAACTCATGAGTTCTATTTTTAGAGGAATCTGATACATGTTTCAGGTTCTTTCATTTCGAATGGCGCTGGGAGTGGAACCCAGAACCTGAAGCATGCTAGGCAAGCCTACCAGCTACATCCTCAGCCCCTCAAGGTGTCCTAGATTTCTGGAAAGTAAGATTCTTCTGGGATGCCCAAAGGTGGCAGAAGGATCAAATCCATGTGTTGAAGTACCATGTTAAGCTGTTAAGCGTGATTGTCTGCTTTGGGAATGGGGCGAGATAGGGTCTCACTGTTGGCCAGACCAACCTTGAATTCATGATCTTCCTGCTGAGAGTGATTTTCATCAAGCCTGATTGGTTTGTGTTTTAATGCTCTGGGAAAGTGATGAATATGTGGAGGGAAAGCAGTTTGAAATATTAAATGCAGTATTGAAGCAACCGTACAGACAAGAAGCCTAGGGCAGTAAGTACTGCAGAAGGACGCTGCCCTGACAGCTGAGGAGCGGGGCAAGAAGCCTGGGGGATAGTCTGCTAAAGCAGAAGGACTAGCCTTTTCCTAACTTTTTTGCACATTATATATTTTCTACAATGGTATATATTTATAATTAAAAACATGAACAGACGCCGGGCATGGTGGCACACACCTTTAATCCCAGCACTCGGGAGGCAGAGGCAGGTGGATCTCTGTGAGTTCAAGGCCAGCCTGGTCTACATAGTGAGTTCCAGGAAAGCTGGGGCTACAGGGAGACCCTGTCTCAAAAAGACCAAAAAAAAAAAAAAAACATGAACAGAAAAGAAAAATAGCCTTCAGATAGTGAATTCTCAGAGTACACAATTTAAAACATCATTTCAGGTCCAGGCATGGAGGCTCACATTTGTACTCCTAGCACTCAAGCTGAGGCAGGAGAATTACCACAAGTTTAGGCCAGCTAGAGCTACAGTGTCCCACTGAGAGTACCACCATTAACAACTTCATGAAGGTGGCATGTGTAATGCTGCCCCTGAGACAAGCTCTGATGCCCTACCGTTTGTTTGACAGGCTAAATGCTGAATTTGTCGTTCCTTACCCTGAGCCATCTCACTTTGTCCCCAGGTCCCATGATGTGAAAAATGGAGGGGAACTTGCTCATTCCACCCACAGCCCCGGCCAGTCCTCTCCCCGGCCTGGGATCAGTCAGCGGGTTGTCAACAACAAACAAGCTGCACCAGGCTTTATTGGACCCCAGATGCCCTCCCATGTGATGAAGGTAACACTTCAGGGGTAGAAAAGTGTTTTCATAGTAATTTTAAAGATGTGTCCCAAGGGGCTGGAGAGATGGCTCAGCAGTTAAGAGCACTAATTACTCTTGCAGAGGATCCGTGTTTGATTCCCAGCACCCACATGGCGTCTACGAACCGTCCTTAACTCCAGTTTCAGGGGATCCAACGTCCTCTTCTGACTGCCTTGGGCATTGCATGACACGGGTGCACTCACATACATGCAGGCAATATACTCATACACATAAAATAATAAATAAATTTTTTTTTTTTTTAAATATGTCCCAAACCTTGGAGTAACTATTTGGCACACCATTAACTCCCGAATTTCGTGTCAGAGACAGTCACTGAAGCCCTATTTTACAAATGGCCTCAGGAAGAGGAGTAAGTTAGTGGCTGCTGGGGATTGTATGTAGACTGTTGCTCCCACTATGGACTTGCATGCTTCTTTTGGACTAAGTTATCTGGGTTCTTAATTAAACACAGACTCCATGAAAGTGAAGCTTTTTTTCTGTTTCATTTTTTATTTATTTATTTTTTGGTCTTTTTGTGAAAGGGTCTCCCTGCAGCCCCAGCTGTCTTGGAACTCACTTATGTAGACCAGGCTGGCCTTGAACTCACAGAGATCTGCCTGCCTCTGCTGGGATTAAAGGTGTGCGTCACCACGCCCTGCTTATTTTTTTATGTGTATGAGTGTGCCTGCATTGTTTGTAAGTGCATCCATCTTACGCAGTGCTCACAGAGGCCAGAAGGGGGCATGAGATCCCCTGGAACCATGTGGTTACTTGGAATTGAACCCATGTCCTCTGCAAGAGCAGCCATCTCTCCCTCCCCAAAAGTAAAGCTTTAACAACGACTTTTACATTGGGTCTGCAGGGCTGTTTTAGTGTGTTGGGTGGAAGATACATGTGGGTAGGAACAGGTGTAAGGAAAGGTGGGTATTTCTAGAAAGGTGAAACTTGTCAGTTATCAAGACCGAAATGGGAAGGGCCCCTAGTCAGTGTGCACCCTGTTCTGGAGTGCTGACCGGGCTGTTGTTTTTCTTCCTTCTAGAATACACCCCACATGAATGGGACTGCTCCATTGAAAGATGCCCCAAGCAGTTCCATGTCTAGTCCTAATGGAACCACCAGCATCAATAGGGCTAGTCCTGTTACTGCTTCAACTTCTGTGCAAAACTGGTCTGTTAACAGACCCTCAGTTATTCCTGAACACCCCAAGAAACAAAAAATCACCATCAGTATTCACAACAAGTTGCCTGTTCGCCAAGGTCAGGCGCAGCTGAATAACAACCTTCACAGCCCTTCTCTGGAGGCCCCTAGCAAGGCAGTGCCCTCCTCTACCATCACTAATGCTTCTTCAATACAGTCTACCTCGAACGCACCCACGATGGCAGTTTCTAAGAAAGTAGCAAAATTCTTTGCCCCAAGTGAGTCCTGTTCCAAGCCCATGGTGAACGGCAAGGCAAAGCTGAGCTCTGGCGTGCTGGTCCCCTATGGGGCCGAGTCCTCTGAAGAGTCTGACGAGGAGTCAAAGGGCTTGGCCAAGGAGAATGGCCTGGGCATGATGGCTAGCGCCCACTGTTCTGGTCTAGAAGCTGAAGACGAGGACAGTGAAGCTACACCACATGAGCTTCAAGAACCCATCATGCTAAATGGTGCTAATAGTGCAGAGAGTGACCTAAGAGAGAATGGCCTGGCGTTCGATGTTGCCAGCTGCCAGGTCCAGCCCACTTTACACACAGAAAACCTCTTTTCTAAGCTAAATGGTCTTCCTGGAAAGGTGAGTGGGTCGGGGTTGTCTTAGGCCTGGTCGTTCGCCTGGCTGGATTTCAGTAATCACAGAGCTGGCTGCTGGAGCTGAAATACCTGTTTTTCGTTGTAGTTGATACCTGCTCCTTTACAGTCTGTTCCTGAAGACAAAGTCTTAGAGACTTTTAAACTTACCAACCAAGTGAACAGCCCAGCAGATGGAGCAAGGTAAAAGTCATGCCTGTGGGTATGCCAGTACTTTAACCCTGGGAGTTTCATAATGAACACTTCAACAGTGAACTGAGTAGGATGGTAGTCTGTAGGATTTGATAATCTGTCCCTTCAAAGAGTATGAACCACCTGTGAGACTAGTAGTCACGGCTCCTTGATGTACTCAGGTCAACATTTCCTTCTCCATTCCCTCTTCCCAGGCTGGTGATCTTGGAACACTTTTTTTGAGAAGGGTCCTATGTTGCTCAGGCTGGCCTCAAACTCCTTATGTAGATGAGGGTGGCCTTGAACTCTTGATCCTCCCTCCAGCCTCCAGATCTAAAGTGCTGAGATTACAGGCATGTACCACCATGCTTGGTTATGCAGTGCTGGAGATGGAACCCAAGGCCTCATGCATCCTAGGCACTCCAACTAACTGAGCTTAGACTTTTTTTTCTTTTTTGGACTGGGTCTTTGTATAGCCAAGGCTGACCAGGAAGTCACTGTATAGATCAGGCTAGTTTCAAACTCCTGTCTTCTGTCTCAGCCGTCCAAATGCTGCTGTTAAAAACGTGTACCATGCCTGGCTACACTTAGCTCTTAAGAAGAGTTAGACAATTAAGAACTATTGTATGAAATTATAAAAGCTCAAAAACATTTTTTTTAAAGAATTAAAGACACATATTTGAAGGCAAGAAGCATCCAGAACTGCAGGTTCTTGGAAAATAGGTAATTTTAAAACATTTTTTTTTATTTACTGAAGGAAAAAGGGAAAATTGGTTTCCAGGGATGATAAGCCCGATACTGGTTTCATCAGATTCGCTGAAAGTTATAGGCTGTTTATTAAAAACCACGAGGCAGAGGGAAAACCCTGAGTGGCAGTCAAGCTGACCCTGCTTTCTTTGTTTCCGTGTGGCTGCAGTTGGACTGCGACAGGGGAAAGCCCCCCGAAGACCCCCGCCGCAGAGCCACAGCCCTGCAGTGCCGAGGTCGGCCCCCTTGAGACACCCGAGGCAGTCGCCAGCCCGAGCCAGACCTCCACCGTGCTGTCGCCGCTGGACCCCGCCATCAACTCTACCAAAGACGCCTCCATGGTCGTTGCCACCAAGCCCGTGGAGGCCTTGTCCCCCGCCACTCCTTGTAGCACCAACGGCGATATCCTGGGGGACGCCCAGTTGCAAGAGCCCTGTGCCCCTGGAGACCTGGGTGCCGATCGCGGCCAGCCCGCCCCTGCGCCAGAAGGGACCGGGACCGAAGCGGAGGCCGCGCAGGACCCCGCTGAGGCTGCGCAGCGCCTGAGCCCGGCGGCCCAGCGACTTGCCGGCGACGGGAGCGAACAGAAACTCTTCCTTTACCTCTGCACAGAGGGGTTCGAGGAGGCGCCAGACTCTTCCAGAAGCTCGGGGGCATCTGTCGCCGCCATGCCTCCTCAGCCAGACAGGACCACCAGCTCCTCGGAAGAGGCCGCCGAGCAGGTGGCGGGCGAGAGAGGGGCTGGCGGGCCGGCGGGGGCCCTTGCTCAGGAGCCTTCCCCCGCCAAGGAGAAGCCGACCACCCTCCGGAAGGTGGACCGCGGCCACTACCGCAGCCGGAGGGAGCGCTCGTCCAGCGGGGAGCAGGCGCGGGACAGCCGTCGCGGGGAGGACCACCACCACCACCACAAGAAGCGGCGCTGCCAAAGCCGCGAGCGGCCCAAGGCCGAGCGCCACCCCGCGGCGCACTGCAACAGCTCGCACTTGGGCCACGGCAACCGTGCCAGCCCTGAGCGCCGCTCTCTCAGCAGGTACCACCACCACTCGCGCCTGCGCGGCCCCGAGCAGGACTGGAGCCGACCCCACCACGGGGATGGCGATCAGGCCTGGGGCCGGGAGAGGTTTTACCCCGACAGGGAGCGCTGGGACAAGTGTAGGTACTACCACGACAGGTACGCGCCCTACGCTGCCCGGGACTCACGTGACTGGCGGCCCCCGCACAGCCGTGAGCTGGAGCACGCGCCAAGGCCGCACAAGGACTGCCACTGGGGTCGCAAGGGCTGGGAGCCCGCCCGCAAGGAGCGGCCCCACTTCCATGGCCCGCACGGGCCCGGCCTCGCTCTGCCCCTCGACAGACACCTGCAGGAGAAGGCGCTGGGGTCCCAGGACAGCAGCTACAGCCTTCCCGAGCGCTTCCACCAGCACGAGAGCGCCAGGTCAAGGAAACGGAGGTACGAGAGCAGTGACGGCCGCATGCAGAAGAAAGTCCACCGCAGCCAGGAGAAGGGCCCGCTGGAAGAGCCCAGGGCCAAGAAGCACAAAAAGTCGAAAAAGAAAAAGAAGTCCAAAGACAAACACCGGGAGCGTGACTGCAGGTGAGGGCAAGCCTCAAGTGAGGCAGGAGGATGTCTCCACTGGGCATCTACCCTCAGGGGACCAGGCCAAGTGCTGGGTCACACATGGTTCCACCAGTTTGACATCTCTAAAGTCTTGAGTTTTTTAAGGCTTCTCTATTTTACACACCTCTAAAGCTTCAAATAACTTTTAAACCAACCTTACAAGATACATAAGGTGTGTGGTGGCCTTGCTTTTCAAAATGGTACTGGCCATTTTTTGGTCCCTTAATAACTCTCCCAGGTCTGAGTGCAGTGTTGGGAAAATCCATCCTGGGAGGCTCTGGGCTTTCAGATTGGCTTTTGTCGGGCATTACATTCTTATATTTTCTTGACCTGTTTGCCCACCTATAGTGGGGGTTTGGGGTGCATCATTTAGCTCCTTAGCTTTTGTCTCTCGCCCGCCCCCCCCCCCCGTTTTTCACACTGAAGTCTAAATGGTTTTGCTTCTCTTTTTTTTTAAATTTTACGTGTATGACTGTATTGTCTGCATATGTGTTAAGTACATCCATGCCGTGCAATGCCCTGGGAGGTCAGAAGAGGGTGTCACATCCCCTGGAAACCAGAGTTATGGACCATTAGGCACCATGTGGGTGCTGGGAACCAAACCCAGGTCCTCTGCAAGAGCAGCCAGTGCTCTTAACCTCTGAACCATCTGCCCTCAAACTCTCAATCTTCTCATTGCTGGGATCACAGCCTGTATCCCCTCACCAGACTGTTTTTGTGTTATTTAGAAGCTTAACTGGTTGGCTGTTGTCTTAACCCATCCCTGTTCGGTGAGCAAGAATGATTTCTGGGGTTCGCTGACATCTCTTACTATTAAAACCCGAGACTACCATGGCCATCCAAACAGGCCACAGATCAGCCTCATCCTCTGCTGCCCAAGACTCATGGCAGAAGAGGGGCGAACAGTCAGCCAGGGATAGCATCTGTCCAGGCCAACAGCAGCTGGAGCCTGGCTAAGGCACTGCTGAGGGATCAGGCAGTGGAGTTGAAGTTGGTGAATTTATGACCCGGGACTTAAAAACTTGTTACTGTAAAAAGAAACACGTTGTTAGTAGAGGGGACCTCACCTCACCTGTGCGCATAGCAGCATCTTCTTTGGGTTGGGAGCCAATGCTGGGCTCTGGCAGGTGGCAGTTTCTGGTGCTGAACTCTGGCTCCTCCTTTCCAGGCACCAGCAAGACTCTGATTTTTCAGGAACATACTCTGATGCTGACCTCCATAGACATAGGAAGAAAAAGAAGAAAAAGAAAAGACATTCAAGGAAGTCAGAGGACTTTATGAAAAATGTAGAGCTACATTTACCGAAGCCCTCGAGCTACGAGGCCAGTGGCCATTTCCGGAGAACTGAGGGCGCCTTTCTGCTAGCCGATGGCCTGCCTCTGGAAGGCAGTGGCCTTTTCTGGGAGAAAACAAAGCATTTAAGGATGGAAAGCCGACCTGACAGATGCCATCTGTCAGAGTATGGCCAGGGTAAGGGATGCATGGAATTACAGACACACAAGAAAATTGAGTAAATTGTTTTGGGAAAGGTGATTAACCTAAGAAGAGAAACCTCAAGGGCACAGAAGGTTTTGAGAGTGAACAAGAGATCCCTAAATATGGTCCAGGCCCATCCAGTCTTGCCCTGTGGGCAGAGTATAGTTGGCTCTGTTTGGCTGAGTGACTGGCCAATCATCAGCCTCTGCTGAAGGCCTGAGTTGCATTGGAACTCAGCCCAGCAAACCCTTGTACCTGACCCCTGGAACATAGGGCTCCTGGTGAGTGTGAGAGAGAAAGCGGGTGGGGGAATAATTTATGTAGTATATGCTTTATTCTTGTGAATCCTTAAGGTGTCCTGAGTATAACCTATCCCCAAATCATAACTTGACCTTATGGTCTCTGAAAATGTTGGTGGCTGGCCTCTACCAGTGCAGAGCCTTCACAGTTGTCTGCATTATGGGGCTCTGGCACTCACCTGGAATTCTCCCTAAATTAGTAGCTCTTTCTTTGTACTCTTAATTGAATTTAAAGCAGCTTTCCTTCCCTTCCTCATCCCCCTATTTTTAAGTGCCATCATGCTTGGCTGCCCCTTCCACTTTCCAACCTATTTCCAATGACCTCTTCTTCTAGAAAGGAGCTTTGAGCTTGTGGAAAATGTCAGGAACTGAGTCGGCAGGGCTAGAACAGAGGCCAGCAGCCTGCAGCCCTTGGCCACAACCTAATCTACTAGCTCAGAATGGCTCTAGTACGCTTAAAAATGCTGAAAAATAGTATTTGTTTCAAGGGAAGCATGGGATTTCATCATCTGTAAGCTTTGGCCAGAGCCTACCTCAGACATGTGCTTGCTGTCTTCAGTGCCACTCGGTGAGGCAAGACATGGCCTGTCCCACTGAAATGTTTCTCTTCTGGCTATTGATAGGAAAAGCTTGTCAGCTCCACCCAAGACAGCCAAAGTTCACAGTCACCAATATACATCACTATAGTTATGTGGGCATCTTGACCCTGTGTGGAGCCTTTTGGTTCTACACTGTTCTGGACTTAGTCATTTACACATCCACTGTAGGTTGTACATCAGGCTGTCTTAGACATGCCCGTGACTGTCCCTGACCCAGTGACAACACTATGGCTGGTTTGCAGAGGACCACATGCCTGTTCTTCCTTTTGCAGCAGGGCTGCCTCTTGGCCTTTACCTGACCAGACCCCCGTGTTTTGGTCATCCCTCTGTCCTAGCCTTTGACCACTGTCCCCCTCTTGTCTTCCCCCAGCTCTTACTGACTCATTTCTTTGACCTGAGCTCCGTTCATCCTTACATGAGAATGCTCAAGAGTGCTGGGACTGACACCTGGTCTTGAGGAGCAAGGCTCCCCAGCATCTTCTACCAGTGCCCTCATCCTGGGTAGCACCACTGGCTCATTCTTCCTATATGTTTTCAATGACTGACGTCAAACTGCAGGATATTGATTTAGAACACATACATTAAACTGTTTCCTCACTTTGCCTTCCAGGTGATTAAAACCTTGGCCTCCTAACAAAAAAAAATATGGTAAGCTATGTTCCTACCTTTATGTTTCCGTCATATGTAAAAACACTAGGGATTTTGGGCAGACAGGTTTTCTTCAGAGGAAACATGAGCCCTGAGTGTCTGTACCTCCAACACACACCCAGCCACTGACCCAGATGTAGAAGTTGCTGAAGTATGGGATTCAGGTGTCCCAGAGTAGAGGAACCGCTTGAGGGTCAAGGCTGGGGACAGTGGGCCATTTGGTCCTTGAAAGGGAAGTCCTGTCAAAATGTGTCATGTCCAGTCAGCAAAGGGGATTTTAAATGAGCTTCTCTGGAAGCTCAGCCTATAGCTAATTAACAGGCTCTGCTGTGTCCTGCGGGGAGACCCTAATCCCTGCTTCCCAGTGAAAGTGGGGTCTGAGGATTAACTCAGGATGGTGGGACCCAGCAGATGGCGCCTCCCTGGCAAAGTGGGTTCCCTCAACTGATTCAGGAAGGCAGAGTAGTATCTCCAGAGCCTCGCAGAGGAGAGGCCTTGTGATGAAAGGGCCCAGACTCCAGCTAACAACGCCTGTGCCTCTTGTCTTTCAGATTCAACATTCAACAGAAGCCATCCCCAACCCAGCTTAAATTATAAACATAGAAAATAACTGTGTCCAAACTGTGTGGTGCTTCTTTAGTAAATACTGTACAGTGTTGATATCTTCTTCATTTAGCTTTGCTGGTTCCCATAATTGTAGATATCCATCCTTTTTTTTTTTTTTTTTTTTTTTTTTTTGGTTTTTACCTTTTCCTAATTGCCCTTATTCCAAATGGATACTTTCTACAACTGCTGAACATTGTAAATTACCGTGTACATAAAATCACACTGAAAATAATGCCCTGGAATAGACCATCTCAAATGCTGCTTAACTACAGACTCAGGTTGATTACTTGTATTTCATGTAATGTTCCTCCAAGTTAGACATCTGGTGCACGGCCAACCGGGAAACCATGGACTTCACAAGGACAGACCGACAGTGCGTCTATTTAATTTAAAGACTTATTTAAAGACCCAGGCTCTCAGCTAGACCTCTGAGGGCTTTCTTTGCAGTGTCTGATACTAGAAACTAATTTGCTTCACATTTTAGTTCTATTCAAGATTTGAAGATGTATTTTATAGGCAAGTTCTGTTTTTGAACTTTGTGGAACTATTCCAATCAATTTACCAGTTATGATGAGTATTTGCATTATGGATGTAGAATCCAGACATTATTTGTAAAGTCTACAATATGTTTTTATTACCTAACACTTTTTATACTGTCTCGTCTTGACTATATGATGTTGGAGTCTGAGTTGTCAGCTTGATCCCTTCAAGTTTCTAGTTACAGACAAATCATACTGTGATTTTATTTTTAATATGGATATACTATCAAACTGTGATACACTTATAATTCACTGGTCCTGCATCAGGAGATGGGAGTGGGGAAAGACTGTATTTAATACAGTGTGTATCTGAATAATCTGTATGCTTTATACAGTTTGTGTTGTTCAGAGATGTCTAAAGTTGATCTTTGTTTTTTTAAGATTAAAAAGCACTTGCCCCACTGTATATACAGCATGTAAAATTTATATAGTATATAAACGGCAGCAAATTAAACAGTATGTCTCAGTTTTTCCTCTCATCCTCATTTGCTCAGCTATGCACCACTGTTCACTTTAGGCCCCAAATGCTCCCACCATAGTTTCTGGGCCTGCAGCCAGACTATCATCCCCAGACCTGGACGAGACCCTCAGGATGGAAAAGCTAGCAGTGGCTTGCTAGACCTGACAGATGTCTGTTTTAAAGAACCAGGTCTTAGGCAGTCATGTTTTAACAGTATGATTTTTATTGCATGAACACAGTATTTGCAATCATTCTGAGGCCATACGCCCTTCCATTTTCTTAGCTATTCACTTTGCAGAAATTCTGGTAACATGAATAGGCAATTTCTTCATGCAGGTTGTAGTATGTACACTGTATAACACTCCAGAAATCAATACATATGTACATTATTTACATAGTAACTATACTGTAAATAGAAATGTTAAGAAATCACAACTTGTGGTTTCTGGTCTGTAGCAGACCAAACTTGTCAGCAAAGCACATCTGTAAAGTCAGCATTGCATGAAACACTGAACACTGCTTCATCATGAAACAGCTGCTGTTTATATTTAGACTGTTTGGTACATTACTCAAAAGTGTTCTGGGTCAATCTACGTACGGCTCAAACAGTGACCAGGGCCCAGCAGAACAGGGCCAAAGGGCTGGTGGGAGCTGCCTTTGCCCAGGGAGTAAACTGTCTTTGGCCATAGTGGGACTGACACCTCACAGAGTACAGACATGGGGTGAAGGGCAGGAGTGTGATGAAGCCTTTGAGAAGCCCTGCAGGTTGGCCAGATGCCCTTGGGGTTAATACTGTCACAACAAAACCTGAGTTAGGTGACTCCACAGGATACTCTTGAGAGCCAGTAACTTAGATTCCTAGCACCAACAACCATCAGGTAAATGATAGGCAGCCCGCAAAATTCCTCAAAGACGACTGGCAGAGTCACTGTCAGGTGGCTCCTTCCTTACTCAAAGCACCCAACAGATCACTCCGCATCCCCAGTGCCATATCTGGGTGGGGCAGTCCTCATGGGACTGGGAAGGGCCATGGAAGACTGGAGACCAAGTTGCATACACACCAGCTGGGCAGCTTGAATGCTATGGTTTCAGATCTGAGGTATTAGTAAAGTAAGAAAGACTAGAAGTTTGGGAACAAACCAAAAAGTGATCAAGGGACTTTCAGCCTTATATCAAGGTCAGAGGCAAAGGGCCAGGGGTCATACAGTCTCCGCCTCAAGGCAGCTCACAGAGAGTCTGTTGTTCTTTAAGTGCATTCGGTCTGAGGTTTTCATTCCTGGGCTTGCCCTGTGCACAGTGCACAGGACACACAACCTCCAAAGGTTGCAAGCTCCAGGTGTGCCTGCGCAAACAAGGTTGGGGGAGGGGGCAGCTCAGCAGGGAAAAGACTTTTGCCAAGTGAGCCACAGGGGGTTCTGCCTATTATTCATGGGCATCCCAGAGGTGCAACAGAGAGGGCTGTCACCTCAGCACACAGCAGCTCCAATTTCCCAGAGGTCATAAGGCTTCACAAGTCACACCCTGGTGGAGACTGGAGTTCCGCAGTATTCCCTAAGTGCCACCCTCAGCTACTGCTTGCTCTTCCCAACCTCAAAAGGATGTCAAATGTTGGAGGACATGGCGCTACCAGAAGATGAGTGGGTATTTCTGACCACTTTTGCCTAGTCAACTACATCAAGACCAAATTACTATACCAGCAAGCATTTAACCAAACGTTTCAAATAGCAACTGAAGTACTGTAGCCAATATGACCCATGTTCAGTTGGACCACATGGAACTGGCATCTGTGAGGGTTGAAAAACGGTAGCAATTTCATGTGGTTCAACAGGTGGATGGCTATGTCAAGGACAAGGGCTCCACTTCACAGGGTTCAGCAGGGGAGGATAAACACCCCAAACCATAATCATGGTTTATGTGATCTATCTTAGAGAAGCATGTGTAGGGAGGTGGCAGAGTTAACTCACATCTGGAGCCACTCATACATACCGAAGGTCCTCATAGATATCCAGTGCCTCCTTCCCCAGAGTGGCTGCCTGTGCCCCAGTTGTCACACCAGGGCCCCCCACAGCTTCCACCCAGGTGCAAGTGCCCCACACCCTTTGCTTGGGGGCTGCGTATGTTTTTTCAGTACACAGTATATACTTGTGTCCAGGAGTTAAATTTATAGCTGCCATTCTAAAAATACTACTGTTAGAAATTAAGTATCTTTCATTATAATTTTCAGAATATAAAAAGACATATAAAAGCTATAATCCTATATATCTGAGAAAAATTCTGAATAAAAAAGTGGTAGGTTTTCCTTTCCAATTTTGATATAAAACTTCTAGAACAGCTAGTGCTGCCCCAAAGAGCAGGTGTGACATGGTGTGAACGAGGCTCTGGCTCCAGAAAAGGAGTCCCATGTGGGCTGTTCAATCCTGCGGCTGCGTCACCAGGCACTGCTGCTTGACAAGGGCATTCTGGTCTCCAAAGGTGCCTGCTGGATCAATGGCAGGGGAAGCTCTCGCAGTGACCACCATCCCGAGCACAAGACTTCAGGGTCTGCAGTTTGGTCTCAGCTGGCTGTTCTGGGGGACCCGTGGGCACCACACTGCCTCCTGGTCCTGCTGTCCTGCTGGCCGGGGCCTCTGCAGTGGGTCTGTGGCTTGGCCCTTACCTACTTCTTATTGGCAATTCTCCTTTTCCTTGTGGCCAGCATGTCATAGAATGGGTCCCTACTGATGCTTGCTCTGGGGAGGGAAAAAGACAAGCCAGTGGGGCTACAGGAAGGCCAGGACACCCCTTCCCAACCAGCAGGTACAGGTCTGAGGCAGGCCAGAGCAACCTTCTAAGATGCTGACAAAGGTTAATTTGGACACACAAATAATTGTGTGTGCTTACGCACAAGACTTCAGGGTCTGCAGTTTGGTCTCAGCTGGCTGTTCTGGGGGACCCGTGGGCACCACACTGCCTCCTGGTCCTGCTGTCCTGCTGGCCGGGGCCTCTGCAGTGGGTCTGTGGCTTGGCCCTTACCTACTTCTTATTGGCAATTCTCCTTTTCCTTGTGGCCAGCATGTCATAGAATGGGTCCCTACTGATGCTTGCTCTGGGGAGGGAAAAAGACAAGCCAGTGGGGCTACAGGAAGGCCAGGACACCCCTTCCCAACCAGCAGGTACAGGTCTGAGGCAGGCCAGAGCAACCTTCTAAGATGCTGACAAAGGTTAATTTGGACACACAAATAATTGTGTGTGCTTACACACACACACACACACACACACAGTGTGCACATGCTGCTCACTCCCACTCACTTGATGGACTTCATCCACTCTTCCTTCTCCTCTGGACTAGGCGCAGAGATCCGGTACACCACGTGGTTCCCCTCCACCACTCGGCCGTCAGCCTCTGTCTTGCAGGCTTTAATTACCTGCCCTTTGTGACTGGGGTTGTACAGCTCAAAGCAGTTCTGGTGGGGGGTGGGGGGGTGCTGTCATGGGGCCTGGCAAGGCTCTAGGGTAGGAGCACCCACCCACTGAGGGAGCCACCTACCGGTTTCCTCGGGTCCTCCACCTCCCTGATGCTGAGGTTCTCCAGTGGGATGATGCCCCTGGGTTCCTTGTCCTATGGGAGAGAAGTGTAAGCCCAGGGCCAGGCTGGGGCTGGGGTCCTGCCCTGAGGAGGACAGGTAGCCTCTTACCGTGGTGTACTCGAAGTAGTAGAGGCAGTTATCCGTAAGGATGAACCAGCGCCGCTTCCAGGTCTTCACACGGCCTCCTAAAAGCAGAAGCCACCTGTAAGGCAGGGGCCCAGGCAGCCAGAGCCCAAGGGCCCAGAGGGGGCCCAGGACCCTCCCCCAACTCACTGCCCTCTACAAAGGCCCCAGGAGCCCACATCAGGACTGGGCTTCCTTCCTCTGCAAACCAACCCACATTGGACCCATTACAAAGTCCTAGGCAAGCCATGTGGCCTAGCTGTCCAGAACAGCTGGGTGCAGGACTGGGGTCCCCATGCACTCCCACCCAGGCTCACACAGGTGCCCTCTCTGAAGCCACCCAGGGTCACCCTAGATCACACACCACTTTCAAATCTGCTTCCTGGAAAAGTTAGTTGTAATGGATGGGTGTAATTTCCCCCATGAAATGAACAGGATGAAGTCAGTGCCGGCTCACCCGGGTCTGTCCAGCCTTAATCCCGTTACGTCAGGGCGGTTAGCGCATTACTGCGACTTTGAGCAGCCCTGGGATCCATCAAAGTCAATTACCCTTGACCCAGGGAATTATTAGGTTGAATTAATCTTTTAACAAGATCTGGAACACACATGTACACACACACACACACACACACACACACACACACACACACACGGCTCTTTGCTATGGAGCTTTTTCACCCTGACATACTCAGTACTGTAAGTCAAAATGACTTCCACTGTCGGCTTCTGCTTCTGACAAATTTATAAACAAAAATCAAAGAAAGAAAGCCACTTGTGGTAACCAATTCAGAGGCTACCGGGAGTTCTAGATGACATAGCTCTTCCCGTCCCACAGCCTTCAGGGCTCTGCAGGCCAACACAGGGTGCTGGGGTGCTGGAGAGGGCAAACAGGCTGCAGAAAGCAGGAGCCTCACGGGCCCCTAATGGGGCTTCGGTTTACAGAGAACAGAATGCAGGAGACAGGAGGAAAAGCAGCTCAGGGAGGGCATCTCTGCAGCCCAGAAGGGACCCCTCTCCCTGGCCTCATGACACTGTCACTCACCCTTCACCAACACCAAGACAGAGGAGGCAGCCCAGGCATCCAACTGTCTGTCCTTCCACTCTCAGGCAACCTGCCCCACGGCTTTCCCCTCACCAGCATCCATCCACCTGACCTTCAGTGGGACCACACCCTTGCTGCCACCTCAGCTCATACCCTCTGGCCATAGAGTTTCTCCCCTCCAGCCTGGAGGATACCCCTTCTTCCCACCATCTCTCCTGCTCCCCAAACCACAGGACTCACGAGAGTTCTCTGCTGCCCACAGCTAGGGCCTGTCTCAATCAGCTCACCAGTAGCCCTGTTCCATACTGGAGACTTATGGGAAGTCCCACTCTATACAGGGGCTCAGGAAAAACTCAGGGCAGCAGGCCTGTCCCAAACTTCTCCAGTGAGGAGGAACAGAAAGAACACATTTCACCCCCAGATCTCAAGGAGTGGCCAGTACCAGCTTGTCTCAGGTAGTTCTCCCAGCTCATACTTAGACTCAGCTGAGAGCAAGTCCACAGCCAGGCATTTCTCTTAGAAGTGGCACTGGTCTCCTGCCACAGGCCAGCCACCTTCCCCAACTATAGCCAGAGACATCCTTGTCCTTGGAAAATAAACTACCAACTGTCCCCCTGCCTGGAGCCTGAGAGTTTCCACTGCATCCTGCAAGAAGACCCAGCTCCTCAGATGCCTTGGCGGCCTTTCTTACTCCTCCCCTCCCAGCCACAGGTCCCCCAACAGAGCTGTTCTGGGTCTCCATGGTAGCAGCCCTGAGCCCTCTTGCAGCAGCCTCCCTGGCTCCTCTCCTGTGTGATTCCCTCTGCGTTCTGCTCAGGCTGTCCAGCCCAGCATGAGATAGACGCTGCCTAGGAGGGAGGCTCTCAGCTCTGTAGCCTGGCTGCCCCACTGCTCCCATACCCTGGATGCACTGGGAGAACTTAACCCTGTCCTCCCTAGCTTAGGTGAACCTGACCAGTAGGTACCCACACTGAGCAGAGTCACTTAGGCCGCAGTCTGCCCAGCAGGATCACCACTCAGCTCAGGTGCAGGCCAGCAGGGGTAAGTAATGTCCCTGATGTCAAAGCCACAGCAAGTTCTGCTATAAGGAGTGAAGAGGCCTTGTACACTCATCCTGACCTCCTCTGCACACAGAAGAACTAAACACTGTGTGTACCTTTCTACTTTCGTTGATGTTACCATGATGGACACACATACATGAGCACACATGACACATGTGGTCCCCACACTTTTTTTCCTCCACGGTAATTCAACTCTAATCAAATCCTAAGTTTTGATATGAACGGCTCAAAATCTAAAGTCTCAAGTTTCTCAGCAACTGCCATGTGCCTAGGCTGGGGCTGTGCACTCAGGCCTGCAAGAGCCACCTGCTCCAACGTTAGATTACAATGAGGATGTGAGCGAGGCTTGGAAACCCAGTCTCTCCACTCCCCACACAGTCTGCACACCCCTACAGATGCCTGCCCCGGCTACAGCCACCCAATGTATCCTACGTGTCCTCTCAATGCACAGCCTCTACCCAGGCTTTAGAACTGGCTTCCAGTATGTCTGCCACTCTCTTGGCCTTTTTGGACAAATTTTACTTGCTTGTGTCAAATGCTGAGCCTGTGGGTAGAAGTGTCTATGGGCACTAGGTGCTTGGAGAGATCAGTGTGGGTTAATCCTGCCCACCAGCTTCCGAGAGCATCTGACTGTGAACAGTGCTGGCTGGCAAGGCTTTGCCTGAGACTTTACTCCTAGAACAGTAAATACAGTGGCTTCTGGTATGAGGGAGACAATAGGCACCAACACCCCAAGCCCTGAGTCTGGCTGCATTGGGGTCACACCACCCCATTCAGTGCCCAGACCAGCAGCAAGCTCAAGCGCCCTATGCACTGGTTTCACCCACTTATCTATGTCTTCAAGACTGGTCGCTTCCTAGGAACAGAGACTACACAAGAATCCTTCAAAGGGCTCCTGAACAATGCCAGTGGCTTGGGATGCTCCCTCCTCTCACCCCTAGTCCAGAACCACGAGGTCAATGTGACCCAAGGAGTCTGGTGTGTGGTATCTAAGTCACTCTGGCATCTAAGTTCAAGGTTTTTAAGCTGAAATCAATAACTCTTTCAAACTTCTGCATAGCCAGAGCCAAGGTAAAGAGGAGTCAAGTCAAAGAGAACAGTCAAGGCTAAAGACTCCAGGGGGAACAGTAGATTCCCAGGGTGTACCCCACTCTGTCAGTGAAGACAGCCATGCATGTCACACTGTCCCCATGCTGCATCCTATCCTCCCTTGATGTGTCTTTTTAAAAACATCACCAGAATTCTAGCTCTGTGTCTTATTACATAGCAGTAGACAGAGTGCATCTGTCATGTGACATGGGCTTTACTGTCAACTACAGCAATACTCCATCCCTCAGCGTCAAAATGAAGCCTAAAACTCCCCACAATTGTCCCAAATGCACAAAAGCCATTAAGATTTCTTTGTGACCAGTGAAGAAGCCTTGAATATGCCTAAAATCTTTGGAGAGACCCCACAAGAGGTGCAAACATTCACTGGTTGGTTAGCTGGGGTGGGGAGGGACTGGTAGCTCTGTCAGGACAGGCTGATTACCAGTTTCCTCTCTGCTGCAGGGCCCTGAAGACGGGGGAGGGGCAAGCTTGTTCCCACAGTGTCTCCTCATACATTCCTGGTCCCTGAGGAGTGGGGTGTCACACACACCACACCGTGTAGGATGCTGACCCCAGGCAAGTCCAAAGCCAAATGGATCAGATGAATGGCAGCCACAGACCGGAGCCTCACACAGACCAACGTGGGGGAGAGAATGAGCCGCTGGGGAGGGGAGGAAGCCACTGGGTACCTACCTCCTAACGCAGGACAAGCAGGGACAGCCCGTCACAGAACAGAAAGGTGGGAGCCACAGGCAGAAGGGAAACAAGAAGGCACATTTAAACCACTCGTCAAAATCACAGCCACGCCAAACCACGAAGAAGGCACACAGGTTCTTTGGAGGTGAGGCACTTGCTTCTTGGGCACAGGACTGCCCGGGTCTACATGGACTTGGTCATTTTCTGGGATGGGTCATGCAGTGGATGTTGTAAGCATGACCAGCTCTAAGAGGCCACAACTCAGGGACACAGCCACTGGTGCTGGGCCATGCGGCTGCCCAGAGTGGGCTCTGCATTTTTCTTTTTAATCTTTCTGCCTTGTAGTTAAGGGACCTTGGCTCCAAGGAAGGAGGGGGGTGGGAAGAAGCCCTCAGAAGCTGCTGCCGTGGGCCGAGGGGTGCAAGTGCAGGACCCACCCTGCCAGGCTCACCCAGCTTCAGCAGCCAGCCTTCCCGGTCCGGATTGAAGAACGTGTGTGTCAAATCATTCCCATCATCCTCTGGGATCTTAAATGGCTCATTCTTGATGCTTTCATATAAATTCTGTGTGAGAGAAAAACAGCAAACTCAGGAACTCCAGGAGAGAGATGATCATCCTTTCTGCCCTTCTCTCTTGTGTAGAATCAGGGTATGAGGTGAGGAACCAGGAGGGTAAGGGGACATTTGGAAGATACCTTGAAAATCAATGAATATGAAGATGGAAAAACAACTTAAGGTGGGGCTGGGGAGATGGGTCAGGTCAGTGTCGCGAGGACCTGAGTTTGAGCCCCAGCACCTATGCAAGAATAAGAACCTGGTGGGGTTGGAAAGATGGTTCAGTGCTAAAGAGCTCACTGGTCAGCTAAACTAGCCTCATCTGGGAGCTCCAGGCCAGTAAGAAACCCTGTTTCAAAACAAGATGGAACTAGTGGGCTTTAAGATGGCTCAGTAGGTAAAGGTGCTTGGCTACACAGGCCTAGCAACTTGAGTTTGATCCCTGGAATACATGTAAACTTGGAAGGAGAGAACTGACTCCACAAAGTTGTCCTCTGACCTCCATATGCACACCACCCCACATACATCATTCTCATATTCATTCTTCCTCTCCCCCCAATATTAATCTTTAAAAATAAGGCAGAGAAGTGACTAAGAAATTTAACATCAACCTCTGACCTACATACATACACCAAAAAAAAAAAAAGGGAAACGAAAAGAAAAAATGAAAAGATTCGTGCGAGTTAGCAAGGAAGGAGACGGTGCTGGTTAGTTTTGTCAACTTGACACAATCTAGAATCACCTGAGAACAAAATCCCAATCTTGTCTAAATCAGCATGGCCTGTGGGCATGTCTGTGGGGGACTGTCTTGATTACATTAGTTGAGGTGGAAAGACTAAGCCTAAAAGTGGGGGTGCCAATCCCTGGGTCTAGGTCCTTCTAGTGTGTTTAAAGAGAAGGTAAGCCGATCATGGCAGGCATGCATGTGCTCATTCACTCCATTCACCCCCTGCTCTGGACTACGGATGTCCCAGCAGCTTCAAGTCCCTGCCTTGACTTCCCCACAATGAAAGCTGGAGCCAAATAAACCCTTTCTCCCTTAGAGTTGCTTTTATTGAGGTATTTTCTCACAGCAACAGAAAAGACACTAGTACAGAAACACAGCTGGGAAGGGGCCTGAGGACTCACCTTCAGTAGCTCCTCCGGAAGATCCCCGCCCTCATTGATGCCACGGTTCATGGTGATGAACCGCTCTGCAGTGGGTTTGTCCCGCACATTGTGGTTGTGCAGGCTGGTGTTGAGCATGATGATTGCGAAGGATAGCACATAGCATGTGTCTACAGAGGACAGAGGGGCTCTGAGCTTGGCTGGCATTTCCATACACAGTGGGGCCCCAAGAGTGCTGCCCACCCTGCCTCCCTGGCAGGATGGACTGCCCATGCTTTGAAGGAAGGCTCCCTACAAAGCAGTAAGGGTGATGGGGAGCCACAGTCTGGAGTACCCCGACTCAGAAGGCAGCCCCTGGGGCCACAGCAGGCTGCTGACCTGTGGACTGGAAGACCCCAGGATTGCACAAGCAGTAGCGAGATGCAAAGGCCTCCATCATGCGGTCGATTTTCTGCGCCTCTCCAGGAAGTCTGAAGCTCCACAGGAACTGCCTGCAGAGACATGGACGCCTTGCTGAGTGACCCCTGGGGAACAGATCTAGCCAGGCCCAAACATAGCTCCTGCCTCACACCACAGCACAAGCATGTCCTCCCTAGCTAGCCTAGGTGCCCAGAACCACCAAAAAGGGAGCTGCTTTCCTCCTTTTTCACAAATGAAGACAGGTTTGCTGGCTGCTTCCTTTGTGTGAACACAGACATTCTTCAGCAAGTACTACTCTCGATGCCTTACAACTGTCCAGGATCCCAGGCACTTCTTGCCACTTCCATCTCCTCTACCTGCCAGGAAACTACCATGGTCCTGCCCTATCCCCACAACTGCCACAGCTCTGACAGGATAAACTGAATCCTGTCCTGCTGGGACTCCTCTCTACAAGCATGGTCAAAGTCAGCAGAAGAGTCAGCAGCCAGCCTCAGGCCTATCTAATACCTTCCAGGCTACAATCAGGGTCTGCTGTTGAGTTACTACTGCCTCCAGGGAACAGACCCAGGCACACAATGCTCCTGTCCCCAGAGGTCCCCTCCCATTCAGGTGTTCCCTGGATGCCCCCTCCAACTCCTTCCATTGCTTTCTTTGGGTACAAGATACCTCTACCACCTGCTTCTGTTTGCCTTAAGGATATGATTGTCCTGCCCCTGGGTCCTCCAGACAGCCAGGCCCTTACACCAGCTGTTCAGGGATAGCTCTGCAGCCCCAAATGACTCAGCATGAGAAGAGGGCTGAGGTCAGATCAACTGGCTACAGAAGAACTGGACTGTTCTGGGCCTTAAGTCATGTCTGCTACACCTGCTCGCTTCCCTCTGGGCTCTTCCTCCTCCACAGGCCTGACTACCACTGCCTAATCCCTCAACAACCCCCTCCCTCAGGGGGATTCCTGTCACACTTGGTCCCTTGCTCTGCCAGGTCTTGCTCCAACAGCATCACACCTGCTGCCTGGTTCCCACTTTGGGAACAGACTCTAGAGTCATGCCATCCCTGATGCTCTTCCCTCTCTGTCCCACGTGGTCAGCAAAGCAAAATGTGAGTGCTCTCCCCGCCCCTTACCTCTGCAGGCCAATAGCACACCCTCTATCCAGCAATCTCCTCAGCTCTGACCCATCTGGCCTCACTCCCACTAGCCTGAAGACCTCTTACCCAGCCTCATGCTTCCTTGTTCCCACAGCAACCAGCTCCTCCCAATAAGCAATGAAACAACAGCTTCAGCAACACCCATCATGTTCCTCCACCCTCAGTGAACTCTCTGTGGCCATCCTGAGCACCTCCCACTTAACCCCTTGGTTGGGCCCAAGGGCAGAAGGGCAACAGTGCTTCAGGCCAGGCAGAGCCCAAGACAGAACCCACTGGAGCAAACGTTGAGTGAGGTGGCAGCTACTCACACCCCTACTTACCTCCCACCCTCCACTCCCCACCCCTTACCCCCTGGGTCTGGGCAGAGATCACCCAAGGCTCCACCCTCTTTCCCTCAAGGACAGACAAAGGACAGACAATGACTGACAAAGAACAGAACCACAGTGGTGATGGCTGTTCCAGGCTCAGAAGGTTTAAGCCTTTCTCTGGCCATACATTCTCAAAAACTGAATCTAAGCTCAGCGAATCCGGTTGTGCGACTCGCTGCATAGCTCAATGATGGCAAGCTTTTCCACCTAGGCAGAGGTGCTGAGCACTGTGTCCCAAGGGCACAACTAACGGCTGCCAGCACCCGAGTCCACAGCTGAAGTGAGGCCATGTGAATAGCTCTGAGAGTGCAAGAGGGGGTGTGGGAATGCAACCAGATAAGGCCGCTATGCATGCCTGTACCATTAACAGGCTAGGGAGGACCCCTACCAGGCCTGCCCCTGTTGCCTTTCCTACAGGGACTGGTGCATCAGGGTCAAGACCTAGTACAGATACCACCACAGCAGACAAGAAGCCATCCACTCAGGGGGCACACTGAGGACACCATAACAGGTGAATTCTGAGGGTCGTCCCCCTTCACTCACCCATATGATATATAGTAAAAACAACTTTCCTCAGACAAGACTGAGGCTACAGAGTGACCATTAATAGCTAGATCTACATTTTCCTTGGCACACTTGGGACTGGGTACCTGAGGCCAAATCTGGTGATAGTGGACCAGGGTGGAACTGAGGTTGTACAAAGCACAGTATGATACTCTGATGGTTAACCTCCACTGTCAACTTGACTAGATTTAGAATCATTATGCAAGCAAACTATAGGCATGTCCATGATGGTGTTTCCAGAAAGGATTAAGTGAAACAAAACTCGCCCAAATGTGAGCGGCACCATCCTGTGGGCTGAGGTGGCAGAATGAATAAAAAGGAGACAGTGAGCTGAATAGCAGTGGCCATCTCTCTCTGCTTCCTGACTGCACACAATGTAACCAGGGCTGGATCATAGATTGCTCTAGCTACTGCTTCATCTCAACCCCAGAAGCCATGTCACACCCCCTGTAGTCTCCCTCCCAGGACAGAGGACATGCAGCTGCAGCCCACCCCACCCAGACCCAAGACAACCTTGTGATTTCACATCAGTGGACTAGGTCACATGGACTTACCCCTCCCAACCCCCATCCCTGGGAAACCTCTATGAGCAAGAAGCCCTCCCACTTGTGCTCTGGAACGGAAGGTCTCTTTCCCTTCAGGACGCTGATCATATTATCCATAGCAACTCTCTCTTTACTGTCTCCCAATTTATGGCTGCCTCTGGCCACGAGACTGAGGCAGCCATAAACTCTCCTAATAAAGCTCTTCTGAAGGGTAATTTGCCTCAGCTTCCTTTCTACAAACCTGAAGCATCTTTTTATTATTTTTTTCTTTGTGCACAGGGTCTTACTATGTAGCCCAGCTACTAGCTGTGCAGACCAGGCTAGCCTTGAACTCACAGAGAGCTGCCTGCCTCTGCCTCCCAAGTGCTGTGACTGAAGGTGTACACTACCACACCCAGCCAACATCTTTTATTATTTGTAAGCTGTAACAGCCAATTGTTTCAAGCACCTGCTGCCACACCTTCCCCACCACGATGAACTGTACCCTCAAACTGCAAGCCAAAATAAACCCTTCCTTCCTTAAGTTGCTTCTTATCAGAGTATTGTGTCAGAAACAAGTAAATAACCAAAAGACAAGTGCTGGGGCTCACTTGGAATGAAGGAGAACAAAGAAACTAAGAGCAAGCAACAGAATCAGCAGGCACAGCAAGGCAAGCTTTGTCCTGTGAGTCCTGATTTCTGCCTAGGGCTGCCGAGCATCACATAGGAGGGGAGGGAAGAGGGAGCAGCCAGGACTGCAGGGCTGCTGGGGATCCTTCAGAGTCACTGGAGTGACTCAGTGACCACTGGCACTCTAGCCATCCCATCTGCCTACACATGGTATGTGGCAACCGCTCACCTTAAGGCCTGGACGAGGTTGAGATCAGCAAACTCATGCAGTTCAACAAAGGCCTGAAGAACTTTGATATTAAAGTCATCCCTAAGAAAGCAGAAACAAGAAGCAAGGTGAGTACACATTACATCCATCATGGAAAGGCACATCCATTGTGGGGTTTTGCAGGTGTGATTTTAGATGACTTATCTATTACCATTTTCCTCGCTATAAATTTGTTTTCAGGATTTTGTTTTGTTGATACTGTTCTAGTTTGCTTTCGCCAACACCAACTTGGGGAAGAAATGGTTTATTTGGCTTATATGTCCATCTGATCTCATTTCATCCTTGAGGGAAGCCAGGGCAGGAACTTAGGGCAGGAACCTGGAGACAGGAACTAAAGCAGACATCATGGAGGAATGCTGCTTACTGGCTTGCTCCTCTGGGCTATGCTCAGTCTGCTTTTTATACAACAGAGGACTATCTACTCAGGGGTGGCACCACCCACAGTGACCTGAACCCTCCCACATAACTCAACAATCAAGAAATGTGTCACAGACATTGCCCACAGGTCAATGCAACAGAGGAAATTTCCAAATTGAGGTTCCCAGGTATGTCAAGTTGACAACTGAAGCTAGTCAGCACAGAGACAGAGCCTCACTATGTAGCTCAAGATGTCTGGAACTCAAGATCCTCCTGCCCCCACCTCCCAGGTGCTGGGATCACATGTGTGTACTACCATGCCCAGTTCTTTTCAGGCTCAGTGCAAAACAGAATCCAGAGGCTATTAAGACAGTATTTCATAATGGGTAGGAGTCTACATAAACCCTCAGATAACTCGAGGCCAGTTCTAAGCACTCACATGCCAGATTGTGAGGCCTGCCCAAGGCTTGGTGTGTATCCTGCACCCTTCAAAACAACCCAAACAAGGTCTCTATTTCACAGATGGGAATTTTTGAACATCAGAAAGGTAAAAGCAACTGCTCAGGGCCATAAGCCATAAAATGTATACTAGATCCAGGAATGTTTGGGTGGGTGGGAGAAAATGTCTTGCAATGTTTTTGGAAGGGGGTGAAGGTTAAGACAGGTCCAGCTGGCAAATTCATGGAAATCCTCAGCTTTACCAGTGATGGGATTACCATGAACCCACACACCCAAACATTATTTCACTTTTTTTTTTTTTGGTCTTTTTTGAGACAGGGTCTCCCTGTAGCCCCAGCTGTCCTGGAACTCACTATATAGACCAGGCTGGCCTTGAACTCACAGAAATCCACCTGCCTCTGCCTCCTGAGTGCTGGGATTAAAGGCATGTGCCACCACGCCTGGCTCATTATTTCACTTCTTTTAAAATGAAACAGTAAAAGGCAAATTTTTACTTAAGATGGTAATAAAAAGTAAAACAATTGCTTCATTGGATTTTAACTAAAAGGTATTGCCACAGGCCTGGTCACAGTGTACACTGGTGACACCTTTAGCAGCACAAGGCCAAGGTTCACTCGCCCCACCACAGGACTGGCATGCAGCATGGGCAGTAGGACAATGCTCTGGAGTCAAACACCTACACCTCACAGGACACACCTGGGACTCACTCTTCTCAAAGGGCAGACAAGGTCTGGCCTGAAAACCAGAATCTGCGCCACCAACACTAGGCACTAGGTCACAGCTGAGAGCCCTCTGCCCATACCTGGAGGTTCAAAGTGAAAGGAGGGAAGAGTGATCTGTCCTTTCCAAGGCCTGTTTTTTAGCCTCTCATCATGCAGAAGCGGGGGGGGGGGGGTTGCACATGATGAGACCTTCTCAGCAGCGCAGGAGAGGCTGTCACTCATCATCATCTAACACTGCACTGCTGATCCACTAAACCGGCAGGGTAGCATGGCATTAGGCACAGTGAGACATGTGTGTGGGTGTGTTCACACACACTCATCCTTGGTTCAGTATGAACAGAGTAGTGGTGGCAGCCAGGTTAGTCTCACAGCTAGGGGCAAGGCTTATGACCATGAAAACTGCCAGCACCTCAGGGTGGTGGGTCCCAGAGTCAGCACTAAAGGCAGACTCCCATCTCCACAGCATTCAGGGTTAGAGACTAGGGACACTCAACTGGCAAGACCTCTATATACTCTAGGTGTGCCTGTCTCAGACTTAAGTATGATTTTCAAGTATTTCTCCTTTTTTATAGGGCTTGCTTCACATGGATGATATTATTTGAAGCCAAAAACAGCAGTAATTTGGGGCCAGCAAGATGGCCCAGCACACAATGGTGCTTGATAGCAAGCCTAATGATGACCTGATGTGGTAGGAGAGAACTGACCTCCACACGTGTGCTGAAGCACTTGCATGCCTACACACAAACATACACACACACATAAATAAATAGTAACTAAAAGTCAATAAAAATTAAAATATTTAATTTTGATGACATTCAGTTTACCTCGATTTCTCTTTAATTACTTGGGCTTCTGGTACTGGATCTAAGAAACCCTTGCATAATTATGACATGAAGATTTGCCTCTGGTTCATTCTGAGTGTTTGTTTCACGTTTAAGTCTTTTATCCCTTTTAAACTTTGTGCATGATGAAGGGCCTGTTGCCTTCTCTCACAGGTGGATAGCCTGCAGTGACTATACTTGCCCGCTGAAATGTCTGGGAATATCTGTTGAAAATGATTTGACAGTAAACATGGGTGCTTATTTCTGGATTCTCAATTCTAGTCTATGGTCTTCTAAGTTTTTTTTGAGATTTGTGTTAATTATGTGTATGCATATGCGTATATGTACATGAGTGCAGTATCCTCAGAGATCAGAAGAGGTCTCAGAACCCCCAGAATTGGAGTTACAGATGGTTGTAAACCACCTAATATAAGTGCTGGGAACTGAACTCTGGTTCTCTACAAAAGCAGTACATGCTCTTAACTGTTGAGCCCTCTCTCCAGCCTCTGTGATGTCTTCTATGTCTCTATTTATGTCACTGTATTGGTTAGTATAATTTTAGCCTTATTTTGTATCAGAAAGTTTTCTTTTTTAATATTTTATTTATTATTTTTATTTTATGCATATGAGTGTATTGCCTGCGTGTGTATAAATGCGCCCATGTCATGCAGTGCCAAAGGAGGTCAGAAGAAGGCATCAGATCCTCTGGAACTGGAGTTACAGATGGTTGTAAGCCACCATGTGCGTGCTGAGAATCAAACCTAGGTCTTCTGCAAGAGCAGTCAGTGCTCTTAACCTCTGAGCCATCTCTCCAGCTGCCAGAACGTTTTCTTTTGAATTTTGTTCTTTTTCAAGACTGTGGCTATTCAGGTCCCTAGAAGCTTCCATACAAATTTTAGGATTAGCTTGCCAACTCCTGCAAGAAGTCAAATGCTAGATCAAGGTGGAGAATACTGACACCAGCGCAAGGCTGTTTACAGAGTAAAAAATTTGCATGTCTTTTGTTAAATACATTCATATTTAATTTTTTTTTTTTTTGGTCTTCTTGAGACAGGGTCTCCCTATAGCCCCAGCTGTCCTGGAACTTACTATGTAGACCAGGCTGGCCTTGAAATCACAGAGATCCACCTGCCTCTGCCTCCCGAGTGCTGGGATTAAAGGTGTGTGCCACCACACCCGGCTCATATTTAAAATTTTTTAATTTATTTTTATTTTATGTGTATGAGAAGAACTTCCTCCACCATATTGGTCAGTTACGATGTCTGTGAGAGATTGTTTTCATTGATGACTGATTTTCAAGGGTCCAGCTCACTATGGATAGCACCATCCATAGGCAGGTGGACCTGCGCTTCTATAAGACAGCTAGATGAGCATGAGCCAGAGAGAAAGTCAGTAAGCAATATTCCTCTGTGGTTCCTGCCTCCAGGTTCTTGCTTGAACTCCTTCCCTGACTTCTCTCATTGATGGACTGTGACCTGGAAGTGTAAGTCAAATAAACCCTTTCCTCCCCAAGTTGCTTTTGGTACCAGAGAGTGGGGTATTTCTGTGACAGACCTGACCCAGTTGTTTTGGGGAGGACTGTGGAAGTGTTTAGAACTTTGGACTGGAAAAGCCATTGCATGCTCAGAGTTTGTTGCAGTGGAGCTTGGAACAGTTATGCTGAAAGAGTTGTGGACAATGGAGGCCTGGCTTGTGAAGCTTCAAAGGGAAACAGAGACTATCAGGGCTGTTCGTGTGAGATTTTGAATTGAGAATCTGCGGGTTCTGGTCAGCTGGGGCTGAAGAATCAGCTGTGATTAAGAACAGACCAGAACCTGAAGCAAAACCTTTGCTTTACTGGGATAACTGATGCTGGTTAGCTGGAGCTGAAAATCAGCTGTAATTAACAAGAGACCAGCATCACTGTGGCGAAAACTTCTGGGACGTATTTCCTCAGGGTCAGCACACAGAGGAGACCCGCCGCCTCTATCTCAAGCAGGAAGCAGGACCTGGTAATGTGTAAGAGTCTCCTGTATGGTTCTGGTGTTGAAAGCCTGAAGGGATCACAGAAAGCAGCTGAGGCTCGGCACTCTGAGAGACCAGGAAAGGCCATTGGTGAAAGTGCAGCTTCAGTTGCAATGAAGACCCCAGGATTGAAGGGGTCATGGAGAGAATCTGAGGCTTTGCACTCCAAGAGGCAAGAAGAGGCCATTGGTGAAGGTGTAGCCTCAGTTTCAGTGGCGACCCCAGATTTTTGGAGATGCCAGGACCATAGGACGACCACCAAGGACAGCAGTAGGTGTGGAATGGAGCTGGCCTGCATCTGCAAGACGAGCTGTGTGTGCTGTGGATGGCAGAGTCAGAGAAGTAGACCTGCTAATACCCTTTGGAGCCAAAAGATCATGAGTGAATCTCAGATGTCCAGCCTTGAGCTACTTTGCTGGACTTCAGTTTTGTTTAGGTGTGCCCGATTCTTCCCTCTGAAATAAGACAGTACTCGTTTTGGATTTTACTGAAGCCCACAGTTAAGAGACTTTTAAAAGAGACTGAGGACTTTTAAGGACTGTGGGGCTTTTAAGGTTATATTGTCTAATGTTGTGATATTAACATCATATCTTGGGGACAAGAATTGGAAAGGTTGTGGTTTAATAGTGATCTGTTTGTGTGTCAAGTTGACAAGGGGTTAACTGTGCTGGATAGCTTTAGTGTTAACTTGACACACCTGGGTTGAGGGAGCCATAGTTTGGGAATTGCTTCTATTGGACTGGCCTGTGGCCATGTCTGTGGGGCATCTTCTTGATGAGTGATGTGGAAGGGCCCAGCCCACTGTGGGTGGTGCCACCCCTCGGCAGGTGGGCCTGTGTTGCATAAGAAAGCAGACTGAGCAGGGGCCAGGGAGCAAGACAGTAAGCACTGTTCCTCCATGGTCTGTGCTCAAGCTCCTGCCTCCAGGTTCCTGCCCTGAGTTCCTACCTTGAGCTCCCTGATGAACTGTGACCTGGAAGATGTAAGATAAATAAACCCTTTTCTCCCCAAGTTGGTAGTGGTCAGAGTGTTTTGTTACAGCAATGAAGAAACAAACTAGGACACACAGCAACAAACTGAAACTAGAAGAGCATGTGTATGTATATGTGGTATGTGTACATGGATGTTTGCATGTGTGTCTGTGCAAATGTGTGAGGGTGAGTGCATTTGTGTAGAACAAAGGCTGATACCCTTGATTGCTCTCCACTTTGTTTTCTGGGGCAGGGTCTCTACCAACTAAGCTATATGCCCAGGCCCCAATGTGTTAACTTTTTGTGTGCATACAGTAGTGCTGGGGATTGAACACAGAGCCTTATGCATGCTAAGCAAGCACTCAACCACTGAGCATCACCCCAAGCCCTTTAATTGACTTATAGGTATAGCTAACCCTACCTAACTGCCCCAGGGCTAAAAAATATCAGCACTAGACAAATAAATGAGTAAAGAAAAGTAAGCAGTTGTTAGGGAGAGCATGGGCAGCTGTGAGTCCATTTGGGACATAATATTTTTATATATTGCTAAATTTAATTTGCTAGCAATTTGTTGAAATTTTTTGTTTCTATAATTGTGAGAGCTACAGGTCTGTGGTTTTCTTGGTTGGTCTATCTGGTTTTGATGTCAAGGTAGTCCAACCTCCCTAAAGAAGCTAAAGAATGCTCCACTTTGGATAAAGTATTTTTAATAAAAAGCTAGAAATAGAAGTACACTGATTGGGCAATGTTGGGCTTTTAATAGCGTTCTCTCTGGTCCTTGATGAGCCCTTCTTGGCACGTGCTGCCTTAGTCTTCCTGCCTAACATCAGCTAAGGACAGTCAGCAAACCTTTAGGGAGTGAAAGATCAGCCCTGTAATTCTAGTCCTTGGGAGGCAGAGGGAGGAAGATGGCTGCAAGTCTGAGGCCAGCCTGGGCTACAAAGCAAGAACCCATCTCAGAAAACAAAGCAAAACAAAGCAAACAAAAGATAGATCTTTAGTTGAGAAAGCTGGGAAGTCAGTCTGACCACTGCTTTCCCTTAAGTCACACCCCAAGTGATAGGGGAAGCAACCCCTAAGAGGTCTGGGGTGTTACTGGGCCAGCCTGCAAAAAGTGTAGGTGCTTTTGAAGGATAGCAGGAGGCAATGGCACTGGTGACTCTTAGAGACACAGACCCCACCTGTCCCTCATTTACCTACTTTTGCCATGGCATCCAAGAAACCCTTGTACATGGTGAGGGCCAAATGCTCCAGGCATCCCAAAACCCTGTCCTCACCAGGATCCCAGGACACTGGGGACAGTACCTATGTCTCTATAGCCTGAGGCTCAGTGGCTGAGAGAGCCTCATCCAGCTTACCTCTCCCCTAGGTAGTCTCCAATGACAGTCTTATTCAGGCCCTCTCCTTTGTACAGGAACTGGGCAACATCTTCTGGGGAGCTCTGCAGCAGGTCATTCTCAATAAGGAACTGAATGCCCTGAGAAACAATGCGACAGGAAGACAGGAAATGATGGTTAGGAGGTAGCTGCTAGGTAGAAGGACCACTCACACTCCATTTCAAAGGTAGAAATTGCTTTGTATAATAACCTGGGAGATCTGGACACAATGAAAACACCAGAGACCCATGAAGTCTACAGAGTCTGATTTTCATAATACCACACTGTGTTTCATCCATCCAAGAAAGAGCCATTGTAAGTGCTTGTTAGAAATTATATGAGCAATTATAACAACATCATCAAATATTTCAAGCTTAGGAAAACCATTTCTTTCCTTTCTGGCAGCCCCCACTGTAAGTGATAGATGCTGCTGGTTAGGTAACCCCAAACCTCACTCCTTTTTAAGAAATAATTGTTTTATTTTTTAAAATTTATGTATTATTATTTTTATTATGTGTATGTGTGTATTGTCTGCAAGTAGATAAGTGTACCCATGTCGTGCAATGCCTGTGGAAGTCAGAAGAGGGCGTCAGATCCCCTGAAACTGGAGTAACAGGCGGTTGTTAGCCGCCATGTGGGTGCTGGGAATCGAACCTGGGTCCTCTGCAAGAGCAGTCAGAGCTCTTAACTGTTGAGCCATCTCTCCAGCCCTAATTTAAAATTTTTTTATATTATGTGTTTTACCTTCATGCATGTAAGTGTACCACATTTGTGCAATGCCCACAGAGACCAAAGAAGGGCATCGGATCCCATGACACTGGAGTTACAGATGGTTGTTAGCTACCATGTGGGTGCTGGGAACTGAACCCAGGTCCTCTGGAAAAGCAATAAATGCTCTTAACCTCTGAGCCACTTTCCAGCACCAAGAATTATTTTAATATTAATTTTAAAAATTACATGTATTGAGGGCCAGACGTGGTGGCACATGCCTTTAATCCCAGCACTCAGGGAGGCAGAGGCAGGCGGATCTCTGTGAGTTCAAGGCCAGCCTGGTCTACATAGGGAGTTCCAGGACAGCTGGGGCTATAGGGAGACCCTGTCTCAAAAAGACGAAAAAAAAAAATTACATGTATTGATTTATTGTGAGTGTGCACGTGTGCCACAATGTATATGTAGAGGTCAGTGAACAACTTGTGAGAGTTGGTTCTCTCCTCCTGCCATGGGGCTCCAGGGATCAAACTCAGGTCCTTCAGGCTTGGTGGTCCTTTACCCACTGAGCCATCTCCTCAGACTCCTTATTATGATTATGTGTGTATGATGTGTGAGTGCAAGCACATGCATGCTACAGCTGTGTGTGTAGGTTAGAGGACAACTTTTAAGAGTTGGTTATCTCCTACTGTGGGCCCTGGGGATCAAATTAAGGTCATCAGGCTTTCGTGTCAAGCACTTTTTTACCCAATCTTGCTGCCCCGCCCCCACTCTTTAACCTTGCCATCCTACCCTAGATAATCATTTTTACAGCCTTCTATGTCCAAATGATATTATGACACAGCTCTGGCCAAGCAGACATAAATGGAAGCCTATAAGGAACATCATCACAGCTCCTCCTCTTCCTCCTCCCTGCCTTGAATCAGATGTGATGACCAGAACCACAGCAGCCTCCATGACTGAAATGAGCACCTTGCTCCCATCACTTGGGAGCCACTTATTGCCAAAGTAACAGAAATTTCCATTGTGTAGGCCAATTTGGGGGTGGTGGTGGCTGGATGTTCTGTTACCTGAGGCCAAAAACATGCTAATTGGCACGTTACTGCTGAGGTTGTGCATGCATCTTTCAAGTAAGCAAAATGCATGCTCACCTGAAAGACCTGCACATCACAGATGGCAATTTTAAGAGGTGAGGAGCTGTACTGGGTCTGAATCAGCTGGACTGTCTCATGGGAACTGCCTGGACCCACCACAACAACAAAACCTTTTACTTCTGACAGCTTTAGGGCTGGTTTCAAGATACCTGTTCACCAAGCTAGGAAGGAGGTAGGGAGTTCTGGTATCTACTTGACAGAAGGCTTTTTTACAAATTCAGAAAGGCTTTTCCAGCTCAAACTCCCAAGCCTACGCCTTGGCTTCCTCATACACCCACAGTCCATCTGGCAGCCTTATTTAGCATTTCCAAAAACTCAGGATGGCAACAGGCAACCAGCAAGAGAAAAGACAAAGACAGATGATAGAAGACTGTGCAACTAGATGGAAGGAACAAAATTAGAGGTTCTCAGACCTCATACACGGCAAAAGGCAACCAAGGGAGGAAAGGAAGAGAAGGAGAGGGAGAGAACAGACATTAAAAATTTTGTGTCTGTGTGGTATGCATGCATGTGGACATATGTGTGAGTGCACATACACGGAGGCCCCAAGTTGACACTGCTTGTCTTCCTTGACTGCTGTCCACTTTGGTTTATTGAGGCCACATCTCCCAGAGCTTCAGTTCCAGATAGTCTAACTAGCCAGCTTGACCTAGGGATCCTATCTCTGCCTCCTGAGTGCTGGGATGACAAACAGCCACCATGTCTGCCCAGGTTTTATAACGGTGCTGGGGATGCAAACTCCAGTTCTCATGCTTGTATAGCAAGCACTTTATCCACAGAACCATCATCTTCCTAGCCCCAGGAGGGTATATTTTAACTCCACTTATATAAGGTTTTAAAAAAAGCAAACCTAATTTATGGTGATAGTGTGGGATACTGTGGGGAGTGGATTCATAAGCAGTGGCCCTAGAAAGGTGGCCTAGAATGTTCTGGGTATATTTTGTTCTGGATTGTAGTTTTGTTTCTTAATTTGTCAAGAGTCTACAAGCCATACATTTAAAATCTGTGGACTATGTAATACCCATTTAAGTTTGACAGCCCTAAATTAACTCTGCATTTCTGGTGGGATGGAGAGTATGCTGCCCACCTGGCTGCTACCTACAACATAAGACATGCACAGTCTGTCAACAGTGCAGGTTCAATCTCAAGAACACACCTGTCCTGGCACAGGCTTCCTGAAAAAAAGGCACAGGATAAAAATGAGAGTGCCACCATTCTGCCCTTGAGAAGAAGCAACGGTAAGCAGAGAAGGAAGGTAAGCCATGGGCTGGAGGTGGGCAGAGACAGGGATGCCCCAGGGGTAGAAAAAGAGGCAAGCACAGGAACTTAGGCACAAGTTTACAGTCTGATCTCATCACAGGTCAGAGGTCAAAACTCCTTCGCTGCGTCAGACCCCTTGCTGGGTGTGCTGGATAGCTTTAGTGTCAACTTGACACACTTGGGTTGAGGGAGCCTCAATCGGGGAATTGCCTCTATTGGACTGGCCCGTGGTCATGCGATGCCCCAGGGGTAGAAAAAGAGGCAAGCACAGGAACTTAGGCACAAGTTTACAGTCTGATCTCATCACAGGTCAGAGGTCAAAACTCCTTCGCTGCGTCAGACCCCTTGCTGGGTGTGCTGGATAGCTTTAGTGTCAACTTGACACACTTGGGTTGAGGGAGCCTCAATCGGGGAATTGCCTCTATTGGACTGGCCCGTGGTCATGCCTGAAGGGCATCTTCTTGATGAGTGATGTGGGAGGGCCTAGCCCACTGTGGGTGGCGCCACCCCTGGGCAGGTGGGCCTGTGTTGCATAAGAAAGCAGGCTGAGCAGGGGCCAGGGAAGCAAGCTAGTATGCAACGATCCTCCACGGCCTGTGCTCCAGCTCCGGCCTCCAGGTTCCTGCCCTGAGTTCCTGCCTTGGGCTCCCTTAGTGATGAACTGTGACCCGGGAGATGTAAGACAAATAAACCTTTTCCTCCCCAAGTTAGTATTGATCAGAGCATTTTGTCACAGCAATTGAAGGTAGCCTAGATAGAACACACAAGCATGGGTACTGATAGTTATTAAGGGGGCTGATGATAGCCCAGGATGATTTGACTTTGAATCTGCAGCATTCCAACTCTCCACCACCACAACATTCTAGTCAGTCAGTATTGTACAATATTCAACATCATTGTGGCTTTTTTTCCTGGAAATTTCAGGCACACTGGAGAGGAAAGGCCACACCTGGCTTGAAGCCTAGGCTGCCTCCCCAGTTGGGACGACTGCAGCTGGTGGCCTTAAGTAGAAGTAGGCACTCTTTAGAAAACTCC